CAGAAACCTATGATTGTGGATTCCTGTCTCGTTCTTGTTATGTTTCCACTTTTGTAAGCACCAGGTGCTCATGGGTCTCGACAGAGTAGTATACGTCGGATACCTACCCGTCGGGCTTGTTTCACACTATGCTATTGTCTGGTCCAGACTCGATTATTTACAGACCGCCGTCATATAGCTGTGTTTTTTATTTCGGCCGACTCGAACTCAGGACGTACCGACTTCTCATTTAATTGCTTTCCTTCTGTGTCAGTCCTGGGATGAAGGCTGCAGGAGGATGACAAGTAAAAATTCACAAGAAGACTTAGGGATTGTATTTACTTTCTTCTTCTTTACATATCATCTATCATCATACTGGGCGGTGGGGTAGCCGAGTGGTCAAAGCGTTGGCTCGTCACGCCGAAGACCTGGGTTCGAATCCCCACATGGGTACAATGTGTGAAGCCCATTTCTGGTGTCCCCCGCCGTGATGTTGCTGGAATATTGCTAAAAGCGGCGTAAAACCAAACTCAGTCAGTCAGTATCATTATACTACCATATATTAAACAGTAAAGAAACCCAGGCATCTAACTTTGTGACAATAACATCGGACTTAATCTGTTTTGCTGTTCTGCTGTTTTTGCTTCAAGTGCAATCTGAATTATTAATTATTTCCAAATCTGCAAATTTGACAACAAATGATTTCGCTGTAGATGTTTGTTATTTCCTGCATACCAATGGAAAGAGAACATATTTGTTTTTTAAGACTGGCTCTTTCTTCTTTTTTCTAGATGCAGATTTTCCATAGTCACTCCTAAACAGAGTTATAGATGTCTTTATCTTCTTTTCTAATGTAGATATGAACAAATCAATATTTTTGTAATCCAAATTTTTATTAATTTTAAACCGACCGATCCAACTTAAGATTATGGTCGCTACGCACAACACATAAGAAAATCTGTCCTTACATTGAATGCACCTGCAACACCCTTTTGAAAGCTCTCTACTTCTATACGCTTACCTGTAAATACCACTGCTTGAAACTCACATGCAGCAGACAGCAATATGGTCACGTACAGGGAAATAAATATATACCACATTTCATTGGAAAGGGATTTTGCTATCATTGAGTATATAACCTGTGAAATATGAACATATATGCTACTCACACTTTGCTAAGGATCACAAAAATTCACAACTTTACTTAAACGTAGATTCATAATTTGAAATTGTATCCATTTAAAACTGGATACATTATAGCATGGTAACCCCTCTTTAGGCAAACAGCCACTTTAATCTCACCTTATGCACTTGATACATGAGTAACCATGAAAATGGTTTTCATGGCACCAGTCAGCCATTTTGCAAATCATGGAACGAGTCACTGACAACACCTGTCAATAGCAAGTATGGGTTCAACGAGATGAAATGACTAACTGAAACCTAGGATCCATGCTTACAACAAGCTTAGATATTTAAACCAAATTTGACCCCACATCATAGTTTTCTGTTGATTCCATGTTTCGATCATCAGCAAAGTGTGAGTAGTAAAATACCGGGCAAATAATGTATAAGCTTGGAAAATGGATTTCATAATTTTTGTTATAAATATACTTCTCATCCAAAGTTTACACTCACTAGTGTAAATGTAGCCACTTACTTCAGGCAACTGTTCTGAACTAAAGTTTGCAAAATATTCCATACTGTTTAAAGGTGATGCTTACACATGAACTGATGTATTGTAAAACAAATTCATAACGTTGAAAAGATTATTGTCGTGAGTTCAGTAAATGATGAAAATCAGTGAAAAATGGCGAATTCTTAACAAAACTTTACACCAAAACGCAGCACGATATTTGCACATGCTTTTCAGCAATTTGATGCATGATCCTCGTGCAATTCATCTGCATAAAGTTTGCAGTTGGTTCCCCAAGTTAGTGTAGAAATCAACCTTAGATGTAGCTATATATATATACATAACATATAGTGAGTGCTTTAAGTGAGTCTAAACTTTTGAAGAGAAGTGTATTATCAAAATGTCACCAGGATGGTAACAGTCGCTGACACACGTCAAACGTAAGGTCCAAATACCAACTTATGATACCCGTATCAAATACATCACTAGCAAATAACCATTCTTGTTGTTTCCTTTAGGCACCATGAAATAAAACATAGGGGTATATTTTCTTTTTCGGGGTTATATCACTAAAATGATAATTTATTTGTTTGGGTTTGGGTTTGTTTTTGTAGCCTGAAAAGAAAATCACAAAACAATTGTCAGTATTGTGTCAGTTACAAGATTAGGTCAAAAATTAATTATGATCCCCATATGAAATAAACAATATTGAATAGCCATATGTTGTTGGTTTCGTTTTTCACCCGTGAAGGTCCGGGTGAGAATATTGATCTTCAGTAACCCATGCTTGTCGTGATCGGGTGGTCAGGCTCGCTGACTTGGTTGACACATGTCATCGGTTTCGTTTTCTGCCAGTTAGAGCTGGGTGTAAACATTGCTTTGCCCGATAGTTAATGTGAACATGATTTTTCAAAAAATGTACATTTCAAGGCATGATATATATACTATTAGTAATTTTGACAAATATATGCACACCGAAACAGGAGACGGGACTAAATTCCAACACTGTACAATCCAACAATAAAATTTGCTACGGAACCAACGATCTCAGCTGACAAAACCCACGAGACTGGTGCCCGAACGCCTCATAGCAATATCGATTAGTGATGCATTCAAAGTGCTGTAGCCATTTTGAAGATTTTCTGTCATGGCCTTTTAATCGAGCAAACAAACTTTAGAAAACTGCCAGAGATGCCCCGAATTAAAGTGTCTAATGAAATGTGAGAACGATGAATTATGACATTAGCGCTGAGTGATTATGCCAGGGACGTGATTGTGTGTTTGTTCAGGCTCCCGAGAACATTGTTCTCTGTTTGAACACAACACGTGCTTGCGTCGAGGATGTTGTCAGAAGTGAAACTTGCCCTGGTCGATCTCAAATATTAACACAGATAAAAATATGAGGACATATTAATCCAAAAGTCGAAATTGCTGTCGCTGATGACCATTGTTTCAACAACATCGATCAACTTTTGTCTAATAAACGCTGAACAAGCAAAATAGCTAATAAAACGGTAATATTTTGATCTGTTATTGAACTTCTGAAATGTTTGACAACCTGATCAACTCGTGTTGCTTTATTTAATGAGGTAATGGTCTCCGTCTCTAATAATCATGGAACTCAAAGGTATTTTCGTTTCGGACGGAATGGTTGCAGAATGCTAGACAAAATTGCACCATATATATGACCTGTTTTTATATTGTGTTGCTCTGTATAGAAAAAACGTTTTAGATTTGATTACTAGTTTTACATCGAAACATCGAGTCTAGATCACACAATCCTGTGATTTGTTGTTCTTCTTTTTGGACATAATATATCGTGATATATGCAAATAACCCTATGCAAATATGATGCGATGTCACGCATCATCCTCAGCATTCCGTTAGTCGCCCTTCACAGAACAGAAGATAAATTCATTGCTTTTCAGGCGAGGAGTAAATGCATATAATCAACAAGATGATAGAATAGTGAGTGAGTGGCTTTAGTTTTACGCCACTTTTAGCAATAGGCACGCAATATCACGGCGGGGGACACCAGATATGGGCTTCACACATTGTACCCATGTGGGGTATTGAACCCGGGTCTTCAGCTTTAACCACTAAGCTACCCTGATAGAATAGATTAACAGGACACGAATAGACAGCGCTTGAATGAGATTATTTTTAAGGTGAGGTGAAATTGGGTTTAACGTCGTGCTTGAGAATATTTCGCTCATATAACGACGTGCAAGCGTGTGTATGTGTATGTGCGGCTGCTTGTACTAGCCCAGACTGAAGCTGGTTTTATAGTGCTAGCCCACTGAGATACCATGCCGCCGTGAAGCATGAATACCCCACTCAGACACATTATACTGACTCCGAGCCGACCAGTACTTGTTGTACCCATTAATGCCGAGCGCCAGGCAGGGACCAACAAGTACCATATTTTAACGTCTTTTGGTATGACGCGGTCGGGGATCGAACCCACGACCTTCCGCTCTCCGGGTGGACGCTCTAACCACTACACCATGGAGGCGGTCGAATAGTGAGTGAGTGACTTTAGTTTTACGCCACTTTTAGCAATAGGCAAGCAATATCACCGCCGGGGACACCAGATATGGGCTTCACACATTGTACCCATGTTGGGTATTGAACCCGGGTCTTCAGCTTTAATCACTAAGCTACCCTGATAGAATAGATTAACAGGACACGAATAGACAGCGCTTGAAAGAGATTTTTTAAGAGAGACATTTTAAGTTTTAGTTATATATCTAAACAGGAAGGGCTGATCATGGATAAATAAATATCGATTCTAACCCGTTTCTTCACGGGGAGAATGTAACCTGTTGTAAAGGACTGAGTGCGGTCGCTCTCGAAGTTATATTCGCCAAGAAATCTGTAGCCTGGTTCCCGGAGTATGCTGCGCTGGCGCGTCAGTGCATGCCCTAGGTACCAGTCTGAGGAATGAGATAAGTACTTTCGTGTTTTTGTTTGTAGTTTAACGGCGCACCCGGCAATGATTCCAGCTATGTGAATGTCTGAATAATCGAGTCTGGTCGAGACAATCCAGTGATCAACGTCATGAGCATCGATTTACTCAATTGTCAACCAGGCCAGCCATCCGATCCAATTAGTCGTCTCTTACGGAAAGCATGGGTTGCTGAAGACCCTGATCTTCACGAATAGATTAGTATATTTGTAATTGCCTATTGCAATCATTTGGTATATAAATAGGCTAGCCGTGTTAAGTTTGAATTAGTACCGGAGCAGCAAGATTTGACCCCAGTTAAAGAGCAGATTGTTATAATTACTTCCTTCTTGAGAACCAATTACACGCCACAGGACCGTGAGTGCGTGAGCCCCCGGAACTGCCACTGGATTAGTGGATGTGGCATATAGCTGGGAACATGATGACACGAGTAACAGTCACTATGAATCTACACATAGTCCTGTTGGTGATTTTACTCGCCGGATTCCAGGTCGCTCATTCAGGTAAGTCAATGTCATCTGATTCTTTGAATATGTTTCGAGACATGACAGTTGGGCCTTAATTTCTCAAACTGGTCTAAGCGACGTACAGCCGTCATGCCACGTCATGCCACTGTTCATCTTGGCTGCTGTGAAGGAGTAAGGATTTAAATGTACTCCAAAACGTTGTATTCCTCATAATAAAGGAGGTGACTTCCATAAAAACCCTCTTCCTTATGTACGCCGTATGTTTTATCAGTTTCAGTCAATCATTTGATTGTAGCGAAAGTTTTATGATGGCCTCATGTTCTATATTTCAAGGAATAAACAAATACAACAACGAAAGGTAAGGGATTCTACAACAAAATAATATTCCAAAACTTAAAACTGAAATTATAAATAACTTACAATATAGAGACGTGCATGAACTTGAAAACACAAGGACATATGTTCATATTTTACAGTGATGTAACTTCTGCTATAATGTCTTGTTTTGGTTGTTGTTTTACGCCGCACTCAACAATATTCCAGTTATATGGCGGATGTCTGTAGATAACCGTGTGATCAATATCATGAGCATCGATATATGCATTTGGGATACGATGACATGCATCAAGTCAGCGAGCCTGACCACCCGATCCCGTTAATCGCCTCTTACAAGCATGGGTTACTGAAGACCAATTCTAAACCGGATCGTCAAGGTTAATGCTATCATTAACACGAGATCTTAGTTCTCGCGAACAAAATAACTCCACCCAATAACCTCTATTTAGTCTGTGGGACCAGTCTGAGGAATATTTCGCTCATATGACGACGTGCATGCGTGTGTATGTGTATGTGCGGCTGCTTGTACTAGCCCAGACTTAAGCTGGTTTTATAGTGCTAGCCCACTGAGATACCATGCCGCCGTGAAGCATGAATACCCCACTCAGACATATTATACTGACTCCGAGCTGACCAGTCCTTGTCGTACCCATTAATGCCGAGCGCCAGGCAGAGACCAACAGGTACCATATTTTAACGTCTTTTGGTATGACGCGGTCGGGGATCGAACCCGCGACCTTCCGCTCTCCGGGCGGACGCTCTAACCACTACACCAGGGACCACCAGATTGTATTATAATTGACGCTCATATACAAAATGCAAAATATGGCACAGGAAGAATACAAGTCAATAAACACTTAAGATCTTAGATTAAATGCATATTAAATGAAACACCGAGAACAAGTAGGGCTGGTCTAAGATAACGCTCATCACGTACCGCACGTGCATTTGTTTCACTGTTCCATCTACTGCGCTTAGCCCCTTGTAATACAAACCAATAATTGCGAGTTAAATCTATGATCGTTTGTGAAACAACTTTTATCCTGAGATGACTAAAATTCTGAGATTTAAATGTTCATCTGGCAGGGTAAAATTATGAGGATTCGCAATCTAAAATTCACTTAATTTGATTTACATTTTTGTTTAAAGTGAAATTCATAAGTACGTTTTTACTGCAAACAGACTTGGTGATGGGTAACTGAGCGTTTGGCGGCACAGGTGTTGAGTCAATTAATCTCGGATCCAAATGATTTTTATGGGGGAGGTTAGGAGGGGACATGGGGATGTATCTAACGTGACTGCTCACACGGCAACCTCACAGATATTTAATACAAATGTCCTGGCACTAGTTGTGGCATCACATTCCGACAAACGTCTGAGTCAATAATAATAATAATAATAATAATAATAATAATAATAATAATAACAAGGGGGGAGGAGTTATGGAAGATCAGGCCTACACCTATCTTGGAATGCAAGTTCGAGATAAGCTCCAGAATGCCCAGATTCAAGACAAACTGCGGGCCGAGTACAAATCTCGTTTAAAGAAAATCTGGAGCTCAGAGCTAAATGCTCGAAACAAGGTCAAAGCCACCAATATTTTTGCTGTGCCAGTCCTGTCCTATTCCTTTGGAGTAGTTGATTGGACGAAACAAGACATCCAGAGTCTTGACCGCCTGAGCAGAAGGATCATGTCTGATAACAGAGCCCACCACCCTCGTTCCTCTCTTAACCGTGTATATATGCCAATCAATTCTGGAGGTCGGGGTTTGATTAATGTGGAGGCTCTTCATGATAGAATTTTATTGTGTACTTTTGCACATATTTATTTATCGGATGATCCTCTGGTGATGCATGTGAAGACTCATGATGAAAGCAAGGAATTCCACAGCTATTTTAAGCGTGCCAAGGTTGTTGGACAGAATCTGAAATTTGAAGTTGACTTTGCTGATGGCGATGTACTGCTGGACGGTACAGCGATGGGAGTAAACCAGGTGAAGTCTTTCACCAAGTCTGCCCAGAGTCGGTCTTTTGTGGAGAAGCTTTCTGAGAAGCCATTGCATCGTGTGTACATGCAGTGTGTGGAACAGAATAGCAATCCCTCCGACTCCTTCGCCTGGATGAAGTCGGCTGGTCTTAAATGTGAAACTGAGGGCTTCCTTTTTGCTGCTCAGGACCAGTCACTTCCCACTCGCAATCGCCTAAATGTGATTCTTAAAGAGAATATTAACATGAAATGTCGACTTTGCAATGAATTCACAGAGACTGTCCAACACCTTGTCAGTGGATGCCCTTCCTTGGCACAAACAGCATATCTTAAACGACATGATGGCATGGCTCGTTGCTTTTACTACCGTCTCCGACATGCCTGTGGCTTTGACTCCGAGGTCCATCCATGGTACGACCCTGAACGTCAGGGCGTCATGGAAAATGATGCTTTCAAACTTCTCTGGAATAGGCCAATATACAGCCTCAGAAGAATTCCTGCCAACAAACCTGATCTTGTCCTTTTTGATAAAGCCAATGAATTTATTTATATCATTGAATTTTCTGTCCCTTTTGACAGGAATGTGATTGACAAGATCAAGGAAAAGCATGATAAATATGCGGACCTCGCCTTTGAAATGTCTCGCTTGCATCCCAAGTACACTGTCGTCAGGCTCCCCATTGTTCTCGGTGCCCTTGGTTTGGTACCTCCTGATCTTTTGGCGCAGATCAGGAGAGTGCCCGGGTTCTCCACCGGGAGTACAGCCCTTCTGACACTCTGGGTAATGCAGAAGGCTGCAGTGTTGGGGAGCCTTCATATTCTCCGGAAAGTTCTTGGTGGGTTCGACTAGGCAGCGTTTCCTGGGAGAAGTCCCATTCGCTGTCTGGGCTGCGTGTAGAGGGGGCAAGGGCCCTGAGCTGATGATGAGCCTTACCAGCCTGACTGTGCCAGGATCACCCGAACCCTCTCTGCTGCATACTATCTTTAATCTATAAAACATAATAATAATAATAATACTTTATTGCCCAAAAAGGGAATTTGTCTTGCGTTATGGACGCTGGAATTACAATGAAGACATATATCCATTAAGCACACATTACAACACGAACAACATCAGTCACACGATCTGAGGAGCTCTCACAGATCACAGTGAGCAATCAACAGTGGTTAATATGATTTAAAGTACGTTTATAACATGACCAAATTGTTGTTGTTTTCACAGATTAAACGAATGTAAAGGGGAAGGATAAAACTGGACATTAAGAAAATAAATAAATAAACTACAATGTATAACACTTTAAGACTAGCACTGGATACAGAACAGATACATAAAACACAGTAGAATGCTAATGGAATAAATAAAACTACTTCTGTTTGTTTAAAATAACAATACTGTATGGGATAAATGAGTCGGTGGCTCTCTTTGTCCTGAGGCGGGGAGTTTGATAGCGGCGGCCTGAAGGAAGAAGTTTATATTCGGGATGAAGAAAGTGGTTCGAATCTGTACAAATTTTGAGTGCTAGATTTCTGACTTGCCGCTGACCTAGACATGTGATGTCCTCGAAGGTTGTACCTGAAATTTTGCCTGCTTGAGTTATTGTTTTGGAGAATTTGTTTCTTTGTTTTATTGTGAGAGCCCCCGACCACGCTTCAATGGAAAAACAAAGAACAATTTGGATAAATGTTTTGTAGAATAAAACAAGCGTGGGTGTGCTAACATTGAATGATCTAAGTTTTCTCAAGAAGTACAGGCGTTGTTGGCACTTAGCATAGATTCTGTCCGTATTCTTGTTCCAGTTGAGCTTATTGTCCATAACAGTTCCCAAATACTTATAGTCTGACACGATTTCTATATCACAGTCATGAATAGTCACAGGCAGTAAATTTCCCTTCTTAGTAGGCTGCATCTAACAGAAAAGGCGTTTTATGTTATTTCAAACGTTAACATGTCAAGCTTTTTCAGGTGAAAGAGTGACAGTAGATTTGCGAATATTTAAAATGAATGCCATGTCGATTGCCAGCAGCTGATACCCGCGTTACAGTGGTAAAATATTCGTTACTGTCTGTTTCCAGGCTAATACAAACTTGCTGTTTGACATTCAAGCTTGAACTTACGTTATACTGTTTTAATGAAGCCTTTGCCCCGATGAATGCGCCTGGTGGGCGGCCAGGCCATTCCACCTCCACCGACACGTGTAGCGACATCCGGGGAGTTCCTGCGCAGTTAAGGAGCGCAAGCAACATCAGACCGAGTGGATTGTCGTATTTCTACCAGAAATATACAGAGGCGTATGGGATACCCGTATTAGGTGATCTTGTCTTTGTTTGTTACTAACACCGTAATCAGCAATATTCCAGTTTTATGGCGGAAGTCTGTAAATAATGGAGTCTGGACCAGACAATCCAGTGATGAACATCATGAGCATTGATCTACGCAATTGGGATACGATAACATGTGTCAACCAAGTCAGCGAGCCTGACCACCCGATCCCGTTCGTCGGCTGTTGCGACAAGCATGGGTTATTCACTTGTCCTCTGGTTTGAAGTCGGTTGTAAAGTCGATATCATTCTGAAAAAAACGTTCTCAGATCAGAATTCATCAACTTCTGTTAAAACCTTCAGAGGACCCTTGTACGGCAAGGTGGCGCAACTTTGCATGTCATATCAGTGACCTTTACCTTATATTCCTCAGGAAGCAGTGTTCGTCAGCAAGCCATCCCTAACGGGATCGAGTGGTCAAGCTCGCTGACTTGTTTGATACATCGTATTGGTGCATGACATCGTTTCCGGTGCTCATGATCTCAATCACTGAATGATGTCTTCTGATTATGTACAGGACGCTGTCATATTGCTCAGTTTGGCGTTAAACGAAGTTCGCAAATTAACATACCTCCGCGTTAAGCCTGGAATATTGCTAACTGACGTAACACAATAACGGCAACAACAAATGCTATGGATTTCACTCATAAAACTTAATTGAATACTTTTGAGTTATTTGGTTGTTACAATCTACACTTCTGTCTTAAAAGATCCGATGTATATCTCATAGTTTTTCACTGTGTATTAATATAAATAGCGGCGGAGTTTGACTTTCTCTTGTGGTCTTCAGTATCTATGACTTGGACCTGGACGTGAAGATCTCTGACTTGGACCTGGACGTGAAGATCTCTGACCTGGACGTGGACGTGAAGATCTCTGACCTGGACTTGGGCGTGAAGATCTCTGACTTTGACGTGGACGTGGACGTGAAGATCTCTGGCTTTGACGTGGACGTGAAGATCTCTGACCTGGACTTGGACGTGAAGATCTCTGACTTGGACTTGAACGTGAAGATCTCTGGCTTTGACGTGGACGTGAAGATCTCTGACCTGGACTTGGACGTGAAGATCTCTGACTTGGACGTGAACGTGAAGATCTCTGGCTTTGACGTGGACGTGAAGATCTCTGACCTGGACTTGGACATGAAGATCCGGGTTACCACTAGTCTTCAGCAACCCCACAGTGTTTTAAGAGGCGACTAGGGGGAATGGATGGATATGCTCGATGACTTGGTTGACGCATGGCTTGGTATCCCAACGGTGGAACGATGCCCATAATGTGATTCACGGCTTATTTATCCAGACCCGATTATATACTTCTCATAGAGCTGAAATATTGCTCAATGCGATACGGTGCAAAAAAAGAAAGAAAACAAAACAACAAGGAATATTACAAAGAAATTCTTTGCCTTTGCTCTTATACTATTGGCTGGTTTCTTTAATACTTGATTTGGCGAATGAAATTTTAAAAACTTTGGTCAAGATTGAAACCATCAGACAAATTTGTTTTCCTTCGGGAGAAAAAACCATTTTCAGTGATAAATAAGATCAACAGATGGTGGTACGTGGGACGTCATGCGAATGACAAATCTTTTATATATATATTTCTTATAGTTCTTTTAAGCATGCTTATTGTAATTTTGTATACTATTTATTTTTCAATCCTTGTTTACGGTTTTGAAGAAGTGGATTGACAAAAGGTCAAGAATGATACCCGTATGCACCGCAGGTTCCGTTAACGTCCCCGACGACGCTCTTCGCCGCGCCTGTTACGCCCTTCGCTTCCTCCTCGCCGACCACAGCGGTGTGCGGCAGTCCTACTACCGACTGTCGGGGAGGGTGGCAGTGATCGGAGCTCGGGAAGGGACGGTGTCCATTCCGGAACACGCTTGGCTTGGCCCCTCCTGGAACGCCCGAGCACGTGGACTTGGGGCGACGGAATACGCCCCCGTGTCAACAGGAGGCGAGGAAAACATCCTTTGTTACAATACGGACAGGTAAAATGACAATGATTTCTACCCGACGAAACTGTTGAAAACCTTTCTCAATTAAACAAAACCCGAGAAGATCCACAAAAGAAGGGACGTAACTCTTCATGTGCTACCCTCAGCTATTCTAAGGGGATTTTATCGCTGTTGCTTTCCTGAAGATGTGTTTCGAGTAATTCGTTTCTTTGTAAGACAATTTTAAAGACGTGCGATCTCACGGTTACGGTATCCTGTCTAAAATTACTATTTTGAAAGAACTTAAAAAAAGACAGCAAAGTATTTGAAAATGCTTCTTGAACTTTATGAGAATGTGAACGATTCATGTATTGTCCATATGGCATCAGGTATCGGTTCGAGGACATCTTCCTGCACGAGTTCGCCCATGGCATCCATCTACTCGGTGCCAAGTATGCCATCCCAGGTTGGCAGAGTCGCCTACAGTCGCTATACTACCAGGCCAGATCTGCCGGTAGATGGCGAAACACATACGCCATGACTACAGTGGAGGAATATTTCGTAAGTAAAAATGCGACAGCGCGTGTGTGCGTGTGAGAGTGTGAGGTCTGCCGGTAGGTGGCGCAGGACGTACGCCATGACCACAGTGGAAGAATACTTTGTAAGTACAAACATATCGAGTATGAATGAATGTGTGTGAGTATGACTGTACGTGGGTGCGCGCGCGTTTGTATGCGTGTGCGTTCGCAGCAGTTTTCTGGCTACATGATAACAGCTTGCGCATGATAACAGCCAATGACAATAACAATGTCGCCCATCCAATCCTCATTTCAGCCAGATCTTATCAGCCAGAACTATGGTGGCTATTGACTCAGATTACGCAGGTTGTCTAAACACATGGTACAAAACGTTTCTTTTCAATCAGAGAAGTTGTGGAACTCAAATCATCATTATAGCATCTGTCAAAGTGAATGCCTACACTCTTTGTAACCACTTCAGGCTCCCGATCCACAACGCCTTCGTAACGATGCGACCTATTCGTAAGTCAGTGCTACATCATTGGCTTACGAATGGCGTAATGCTACGAACGCCTTGTGGATTGATGTGATCTAACTGTGACTGTGAGTCGAAGGGCAGACGCCATTTTGTTTACATGTCATAAGGTCGGTAGCGAGTTTATCAATCTTAAAAAAAAACCCATTTAACATGGCGGTAAATATGCTGTATGCTTCGCTCGAGGATAATACGGTCTGATGTACCCGTGCCACCCGAGCCGGTAGGCGATCACTTATATTATCTTACCTTCATGTGAAATGTCTTAATTTCAGTGGTCAATGACTCTTTAACAAGTTTCCGTGTCACAACGAGGGTGACAACTGGAAAAAATGTTACCCGTTGACACAGTAACCGCCAAACTCTCCGCCGAGAAGCTGTATTGCTAACAATCGTATGACGTCATAATATGACGCATGCAGTGTTCGGATTAGCTATTTTTGAGTTCACTATGTAAACATTTATTTTGTCGACTTTCACGACTAAACTATTTAATACACTTTCACGACTAAACTATTTAATACATTGCATCGTTAGCAGTTTTAAGCCTGTCAGAATATTTTTCACTGATTTTAAAAATCCAGTCGAGAGGCAAACGCCATTTTGTTTAGCATGTCATGTAGTCGGTAGCGAGCTTATCGTGTTGAACATTCAACGTGGCAGTAAGATAAATACGTTGAAGCATGCAACTTATATTATAAAACAAAAAACATCGGATCAAAGGAAGAATGTCAGTGTCTGTGTATACTTTATGTTTGTGTTCATCTGATAGTCGGTCATCTTTCAGTTATTCATTTACGTACATTTTCACCACATTTCCGCTTGGGGTGCCCAATGAAGTCGGCTTCAGTTAATTACCGAAACTGGTTATTTTCTGGAATTGTCGTATTCTATTGACATGTGAGTACACAGATTGTCACCCTCTCTCTTCAGGCGGAAGGGACACAAAGCTACTTCAACGTCAACGCTTACTCCGCCGTCCCCAACGGCATCCACAACCGCGTCAACACCCGCGAGAAACTACGGCAATACGACCCCCAGCTGTTCTCTCTGATACAGGAGGTATTTCCCTGCGGGAACACGTACCTCAGAAGATGTATGGCAACCCGAAGTAAGCAAAATGTCATATCTATTGTTATTGTGCTTCACGTGGACGCGACTGGTCCAGATTATCATGTTTCAATCAAGACTTAAATATGTTTTTCCCCACATCAAAAATTAAAATCACGAGTAACGATCCCAAGCAATCAGCTGTTACAGTAACTGGCTACCAGATTCCTTTATTCTGATAGTATAATTCGGATTAGGGTAGTTTTTGTGATGTGTTTCCTGCTAATGTTGCAGATGCTGAGAGAAGCCAGCGTCTGATGATGGACTGCAACACTGGGGGCGGCGGCACTGGAAACGAAACCGAAATCGGAACCGGAACCGGCACTGGAACTGGAACCGGAACCGGAACTGGCTCTGGAACCGAAACCGAAATCGGAACCGGAATAGGCACTGGAACCGGAACCGGAACCGGAACCGGAACCGGAACCGGAACTGGAAACGTAACCGAAATCGGAACCGGAACAGGAACTGGTACCGGAACCGGAACTGGCTCTGGAAGCGAAACCGAAATCGGAACCAGAACCGGCACTGGAACTGGAGACGGAACCGGAACCGGAACTGGAACTGGAACTGGAAACGAAACCGAAATCGGAACCAGAACCGGCACTGGAACTGGAACCGGAACCGGAACTGGAACTGGAAACGAAACCGAAATCGGAACCGGAACCGGCACTCGAACCGTAACCGGAACCGGAACTGGAACTGGAACTGGAACTGGAACTGGAACCGGAACTGGTTCAGGTATGAAAGTCTATAATTGGATGCTTCTGTAATACATGGCCAAACTTGAGGCTTAAGAATTTAACAAAAACAATTTGAATAACACTTATGGCTGTTTCAGGCAACTGTCTGGACAGGAACCGCAACTGCAGGTCATGGGCTTCTCTAGGGGACTGTGGCTCCAATCCTCGCTACATGCACGTGTACTGTAGACAAAGTTGCAACAGATGCTCAGGAGGCGGAGGAGCAGGTTCGACATGAAATTTTACCCATGATCTTTCACTTTGTAGTGTATGTCTAGTTTGACATCAGGAGATAGAGTTGCGTCCCTTTGGCGTACCGGTATCCTAAGATCTTTGGTACAAAATCAGCATTCATTTTGAATAAGAACCTTCTTTTGTCAGCACTATACCTGTCCTTTGAACTCGTGAAGATCCGGGTTAGAATTGATCTTCAGTAACCCATGCTGGTCGTAATAGGCAACTAACGGATCGGGTGGTCAGTTGACTTGGTTGATACATGTCGTCGTATCTCAATCGCATAAATCGATGCTCATGCAGTTGACCACTGGATGGTCTAGTCCAGACTCGATTATTTACATATAGCCATTTATCTTGCCTCACACATTGGCTGAGCGCTCTAATATTATTTTCAATGTACCCCGCTTACAAGCGAGTAACATTTTCTATGTACCCCCGCTGGGAATGCCGAAGTCATTTGGTACTTGGTAGGGGTATTTTTTTTTATCTCGAATAACATTGAATCATCTATGATGTACGGAAATTACCGATGTTTTGCGAATACAAATCGATGGAAGGGAGATAACTCTAAATTTGTTTTTCTTGTCGTCTGGTACTCCATACTATGATTCCATACCCGTGCTTCAAACAGTTCAAAATTACCTTTGAGGTGTTCGGTAAGAATCGAAAGGGGACATGGGCTGACGTACCCTCGATGTTTGTATATATTCCCTGAGCCTGAAGGACTACATCTGAGTGTGGCGTTAAACCACAGACCACAGGGGCTTATAAAGCTAAAATCTGCCATCAATGTATATACTGTCACTGACGGATCTTTGTACTATTTATAGCTAAAACACATGGAATTATCATGAAACGGCCGTCCTATTATCAGAAAGTTGCGGGCTGCTGCAAATGATATTGGACCGCTCAACCTTAACGACGGGCCACTATATGTTGTCAAGTGACGTCATAGTGGGTGCGTCGGTTCATTCGACTTTGGCTTTGGACTGGCAGATATTCTGGGGCAAACAAGTCAAAGCAACCCGAATTCCCGCTTTAAATTGCGGTAATATTGGCTTTCTTGCTGGTGCTAACCTTAACAATTTCACTATTAACTATTACATGGAAGTTGGCTTTGAGTCAACTTACAGTCAAATTCCTCCATTGTTTCCTTTTTCTTTTCAACACAAATTCCATGTATTTTAGCAATAATAACGGTAATGCTATTTTTGAGGGCATTAACATTTTCAGAAGCCCTCGGTCTTTTTCAACTGCCCTCCTTCGTCAGGCAGTTAATGGAAGACCTCGGTCTTCTGCAAATGATAATGCCCTCAAAAATAGCATTACACTTATAATAAAAGGAAAGGGATTAACGAGGTCAAACACACCAGGTTCGTTTCAGGGCGAATTCAACAATACTCACTGTATTTATCCCATTTAAAGTATGCACACATTTCAAGCCAATAGATTTACCAACAAAATGAGACATATACTGTATACATCACAAAAATCGAAGCAGTACTTTGGGAACTAGGATCTTCGGAAGCTCGAAAAATCGTGATTTCTCGATTCCGAGCCAAAATCCCTGCTCAGAATTTGTAGAGGTAACTGACCCATTTTCTTGTATATTTCACAGTATGCACAACCGACATGCACCAAAACATGTTGAACTGATGGCGCCTGTCAGCGCGCTAGTCGCCATTCTTTCGGAGACACTTACATCTCACTGTCATAATGAGTTTACGTACATATATTCATCGCAAACAGAATTGTGTCGTGCCGTTCGCCATTGACGACCTTGACCTCTGCCCGCACTGAAAAGAGCAAGGGAGCTCATTGGCTAAAAATAAAATATGTCCCATCAAATCGCTGATTCATTGACTGACTTACCTTTAAAACATAGGTCACTATTTCATGCCGAAGAATATCGATCCGATCGTTACCGAAAATTGTCGATTTTTCAAATTCCATGTGTCGTTAATGCTGCCTTTATTGGCATTGTAGGTGTGAAAAACGTGTTTTTAATTGTGGACAAATTGCAGAAACGAGAATACATTTTCATTCTTGTATTTCTAGGTGGATCCTGTGTGGATGCAAACACCAACTGCAGGAGCTGGTCGATGATGGGGGAGTGTGGACGGAACCCCGGCTACATGTTGTTCGCGTGTAGACTCAGCTGCGGTCAGTGCTGACCATGTCCGTGCAATGAACCAAACAACATGCACTTGACTTCTCATTTAGGAAGTGATCAACCCTTACAATTAGAGGTTTGTGTGATGACTATCGTTAATAGTGAGTGAGTGAGCGAGCTTTTTTTTAATAATCTAGGATTATCACGGCGGGAGACACACGAAATCCATGTATCCATTTATATATATTACGAAACCGCGGACATCCGGGACATTACAACTAGGATCGTCTCCACACATGTCCACTGGTGACACGTGCTTGCATGAGTGAGTGAGTGACTGAATGAGTTTAGTTTTAGGCCGCTTTAAACAATATTCCAGCAATATCACCAGAAATGGGCTTCAAACATTGTACCCATGTGGGAAATCGAACCCAGTCTTCGGCGTGACAAGCGAACGCTTTAACCACTAGGCTACCCCACCGCCCCGTGCCTGCTAGAGGACTCGTCTCCCATCGATGAACGTTATGTGCGAAAATACAAACCAACCAACCTGCTCGTAAAGATTGAAGTGCTTTGATAGGAGAAATCACGAGTGTATGGTATGCGATTTAAATCCACACAGATTGGTTTGCTTACATACAGGCTCCCTTGTTTTCCCATTGTGTATTTTCTCTGTGTATCAGTTTGTCTATATCCATATATATTTCTGTTTTCTATATCCATATATATTTCTGTTTTCTATATCCATATATATTTCTGTTTTATATCCGTATGAAATCATACCTATAACAGCAGATAAATATTTTCACGAGTTTCAAAACAATACATTTCATATAGCTACTTATCAACATTCACCATGGATATTGGGCTTACATTTCACTTCACTGGGGATATTGGATCCGTAATATACTAATCTTGTTTATAAATTATTATACATCAAAGGTACATATCTCAACGTGTGTGGGTGTTTTGTCTGATCGCTGTTCGATACAGTCATTATATTAATGGTAGATTGCCGATAACGCATGCATTTTATGGGACTGGCAGTGTTCCGTCACTAAACCTTCAAACTTAACGAAATGTTATTAATCAAAATAATTTATATATATATTATTATGAAACAAATCTTCAGAGTTCGGAATAATGAGATTTCTATCTTGTTACACATACACGCCTTGTGATATGAAACATTCCCATTACACCGAACCCACAAAATTCTAATTGTAAAATTTATACAAATAAATGTAGCTCTTTTTAAGATAAGTTATATATGATGACAGAATTGGTTTCAGAATAGTACATGCGGCAAAACTGAAGGCTTTACACAGCCAAACTTGGTAGTTATAATCAAGCTTGTTTAATCCCTGTTTTATACCTAAAACGTATAACTGTATTTGCATATTCATGGTAAAATATTACATCATAAACATTTATATAATGTTTAGATTAGAGTTGGGTAAAATTATCGATAATCGGAAAAATGGTCACTAGGAAAGATCGTTAATGCTTGCCGATATGATAATTGTGTTACCGATAACATTGTTCATTAACTTTCATGATAGAAAAACGTTTTCGTACACAATGTAGAAATTTAGGACTTTATTCATGGTCTGCGTCTAAATTATGTTCAAGACGTTGTTTTGTTAATAATCCATGCATAAACATGTCACCACTCGCCAGTGATGTGAAATATATTCATTTCTTTCAGACATTTTTGCTTAAAATGACATCTCCTATATTTATCGATCATCGATCGATATTAAGTTTACGATTATCGATCTCTATGATCTATATCGATAGCCAGCCCTACTATAGATATATCAATCCGGAACCTTGCTAATGCGAACACGGTTTTTGTTTGTTTTTGTTTTATTAGACTGGCTTTTTCTTCTTTTTCTAGATGCAGATTTTCCATAGTCACTCCTAAACAGAGTTATAGATGTCTTTATCTTCTTTTCTAATGTAGATATGAACAAATCAATATTTGTGTAATCCAAATTTTATTAATTTTAAACCGACCGATCCAACTTAAGATTATGGTCGCTACGCACAACACATAAGAAAATATGTCCTTACATTGAATGCACCTGCAACACCCTTTCGAAAGCTCTCTACTTCTATACACTTACCTGTAAATACCACTGCTTGAAACTCACATGCAGCAGACAGCAATATGGTCACGTACAGGGAAATAAATATATACCACATTTCATTGGAAAGGGATTTTGCTATCATTGAGTATATAACCTGTGAAATATGAACATATATGCTACTCACACTTTGCTAAGGATCACAAAAATTCACAACTTTACTTAAACGTAGATTCATAATTTGAAATTGTATCCATTTAAAACTGGATACATTATAACATGGTAACCCCTCTTTAGGCAAACAGCCACTTTAATCTTGCCTTATGCACCTGATACACGAGTGACCATAAAAATGATTTTCATGGCATGGCAGCGATTTTGCAAATCATGGAACATCACTGAAACACCTGTCAATGGTAGGTATGGGTTCCACGAGATGAAATGACTACCTGAAACCTAGGATCCATGCTTACAACAAGCTTAGATATTTAAACCAAATTTGACCCCACATCATAGTTTTCTGTTGAATCCATGTTTCGATCCTCAGCGAAGTGTGAGTAGTATAATACCGGGCAAAAAATGTATAAGCTTGGAAAATGGATTTCATAATTTTTGTTATAAATATACTTCTCATCCAAAGTTTACACTCACTAGTGTAAATGTAGCCACTTACTTCAGGCAACTGTTCTGAACTAAATTTTGCAAAATATTCCATACTGTTTAAAGGTGCTGCTTACACATGAACTGATGTATTGTAAAACAAATTCATAACGTTGAAAAGATTATTGTCGTAAGTTCAGTAAATGATGAAAATCAGTGAAAATGGCGAATTCTTAACAAAACTGTACACCAAAACGCAGCTGTTCACATGCACGATATTTGCACATGCTTTTCAGCAATTTGATGCATGATCCTCGTGCAATTTATCTGCATAAAGTTTGCAGTTGGTTCCCCAAGTTAGTGTAGAAATCAACCTTCGATGTAACCATATATATATACATAACATATAGTGAGTGCTTTAAGTGAGTCTAAACTTTTAAAGAGAAGTATATTATCAAACTGTCACCAGGATGGTAACAGTCGCTGACACACGTCAAACTTAAGGTCCAAATACCAACTTATGATACCCGTATCAAATACATCACTAGCAAATAACCATTCTTGTTGTTTCCTTTAGGCACCATGAAATAAAACATAGGGGTATATTTTCTTTTTCGGTGTTATATTACAAAAATGATAATTTATTTGTTTGGGTTTGGGTTTGTTTTTGTAGCCTGAAAAGAAAATCACAAAACAATTGTCAGTATTGTGTCAGTTACAAGATTAGGTCAAAAATTAATTATGATCCCCATATGAAATAAACAATATTGAATAACCATATGTTGTTGGTTTTGTTTTTCACCCGTGAAGGTCCGGGTGAGAATATTGATCTTCAGTAACCCATGCTTGTCGTGAGAGGCGACTATCGGGATCGGGTAGTCAGGCTCGCTGACTTGGTTGACACATGTCATCGGTTTCGTTTTCTGCCAGTTAGAGATGGGTGTAAACATTGCTTTACCCGATAGTTAATGTGAACATGATTTTTCAACAAATGTACATTTCAAGGCATGATATATATATACTATTCGTAAGTTTGACATATATATGCACACCGAAACAGGAGACGGGATTAAATTCCAACACTACAATCCAACAATAAAATTTGCTACGGAACCAACGATCTCAGCTGACAAAACCCACGAGACTGGTGCCCGAACGCCTCATAGCAATATCGATTAGTAGCCATTTTGAAGATTTTCTGTCATGGCCGTTTAATCGAGCAAACAAACTTTAGAAAACTGCCAGAGATGCCCCGAATTAAAGTGTCTAATGAAATGTGAGAACGATGAATTATGACATTAGCGCTGAGTGATTATGCCAGGGACGTGATTGTGTGTTTGTTCAGGCTCCCGAGAACATTGTTCTCTGTTTGAACACAACACGTGCTTGCGTCGAGGATGTTGTCAGAAGTGAAACTTGCCCTAGTCGATCTCAAATATTAATACAGATAAAAATATGAGGACATATTAATCCAAAAGTCGAAATTGCTGTCGCTGATGACCATTGTTTCAACAACATCGATCAACTTTTGTCTAATAAACGCTGAACAAACAAAAGAGCTAATAAAACGGTAATATTTTGATCTGTTATTGAACTTCTGAAATGTTTGACAAACTGATCAACACGTGTTGCTTTATTTAATGAGGTAATGGTCCCCGTCTCTAATAATCATGGACCTCAAAGGTATTTTCGTTTCGGACGGAATGGTTGCAGAATGCTCGGCAAAAGTGACATGTGCATCATACACATGACACTGGTTATGTTTCACCACATGGGTAATAAAACCTGATTCACTCACTAACCGTCACGTCATTTGTATAACTAGTTCAAGCTTATTGTCCTCCTGTGGGGGTATGTAAGTGCCAAAACATTCAAAGTAAAGTAAAAAATACCACTTTTTTAAAATGTAGAATACATGTTATTTTATTTTATGGCTAGTTTGTCAAAAATTGCTAATAGCTGAACGGATGGTGTAAATCCTGCTAGGGTCCATGCAGGAAGCAAATGTACTGTAAGCCCCCATAGTCCCTGGTATGGTGATCTACCTTCAGTTGTCAATATTATAGCCTGTTTTATATCGTGTTGACCTGTATAGATAAAATATTTTAGGTTTAATTACTAGTTTTTCATCTATGTCTGTGATATTTTAGTTGTTTCCCTGTCCTTCGTTGACAGGTGTTTATAATTCATTTTTAATTATTATAAAATAACTTGATTTAGTCACGATATGGCTGGAATATTGCCGATGTGACTTAAAATCTGAACTCACTCACTTGTTCAAGCGCAACTCCCATAAGTTACAAGGACGCAGTAATTTGAACGATTTATTGATGACAATGCTGAATGTAAATGGAAGTAACTGCTTACATTACCTACCTGTCCAAATTATACCGAGATCAGAATAACTGATCTAAAAGCTATTATACGGTTAACGGGTATGACCTTTATTATGAGTAGAATATTTGTATCAAAATGTTCATGTTCTTTGATCTACATTTCAATCTGTGAAGATCCGGGTTACAATTGGTCTTTAACAAGCTTTGTCGTAGAAGGCCACTAGCGGGATCGGGTTGTAAGACAAGTTGTCTTGGTTAATGCACGTCATCGATTTCCAGTTGCGTATGTCGATGCCCATGCTGTTGATCACTGGATTGGCTGGTCCAGATTTTATTATGGAATATTGCTAAGTGCAGCGTTAAACAATAAAGAAAGAAACAAACATCGAGTCTGGTCCACACAATTCGGTGATTTTTTGGTTTTTACAAGTGTTTTTATGGGATATTATTGTGACAGATGCAAATAAATCTTTGCTAATATGATGCGATGACACTCATTAACCACAGTGTCCCCTTAGCCCCTATCACAGAACATAAGTTTATTGCTTTTCGGGCGAGGAGTAAATGCATAATGAACAACAAGATGATAAAAAATAGATTAACAGGGCACGGATAGACGGAGCTTCACAGGGATTATTTTAAAGAGAGGCATTATGTTTTAGTACTATCTAAACAGGAAGCACTGAGCATGGATAAATAAATATCGATTCTAACCCGTTCTTCGCGGGAAGAGTGAGTGAGTTTAGTTTTACGCCGCACTCAGCAATATTCCAGCTATATTGCGGCGGTCTGTGAATAATCAAGTCTGGACCAGACAATCCAGTGATCAACAGCATGAACATCGATCTACACAGTAGGGATACGATGACATGTGTCAACCAAGCCAGCGAGCCTGACCACCCGATCCCGTTAGTTGCCTCTTACGATAAGCATGGGATGCTAAAGACCAATTCTAACCCGGATCTTCACGGGTAGATTAGTATATTTAAAATTGGGCTTATCGCAGTCATTTGGTATATAAATAGTCTACTCGTGTTAAGTTCGAATGAGTACCAGGGGTGTCAGATTTGACCCCAGATGAAGAGCAGATTGTTATAACTACATCCTGTTTGAGAACCAATTACATGTCACAGGACCGTCAGTGCGTGACCCCCGGGACTGCCACCAGATGAGTGGATGTGGCATATAGCTGGGGACGTGTTGACATAAGTCACAGTCACTATGGATCTACACATAGGCCTGTTGGTGATTATACTCGCCGGATTCCAGATCGCTCATTCAGGTAAGTCAGTATCATCCGATTCTTTGCATATATTTCTCATATGACAGTTGGACCTTTATTTTTTTATTTGATCTAAGACCCTATCTATTAATGTCTAAATATACGAGGTACAAAGGTCATGCCGTGATATTGTCATGACACTGTTAATCTAGGCTGTCCGCCGTATGTTTTATCACTTAAGTCAATGGTGTAATTGTAGAGAAAGTTTTATGTTACCATTGGCGTCATGTTTTTAATTTCAAGGAATAAACCAACACAACAATGAAAGGTAAGGGATTCTACACCAGGGCTCCAGATAATTTTTCAACATCAGAAGTATGTACTCCTTATTCAACACAGAAGTACTGGAAAACCTGGAGTATCAGTGATCTTGTGTTTCGTTTCATGTATGCACCACAACATTGCTACTCTTTTGTACACAGGTCAATAAATAATAAAGCAATACTTTTTCAGATAAACACGTCTGTAAATGATTCTAAGACCGTACACCATTGCTGTAGTATCTGCTACGTTTTCTAAATTATTTCCATACGTATCGTGCATATTTTGTATCCGTACATACGCCGATACGCCCTTATCTGGAGCCTTGCTACAACAAAATATTATTCCAAAACTTAAAAATGACACTTTAACAAACATGCACGCATCTTTTGAACCTGAAAACATAAAAACATATGTCCACTTCTTGCTGTGATGTAATCACAGACAATCACATGATGGTCAGAGGCAGATTTTTGTATTTGTCTGTTGTTTAACGCAACACTCAGCAACATTCCAGCTATATGGAATATAGGTCTGTAAATAATCGAGTCTGGACCATACAATCCAGTGATCAACAGCATGAACATCGATCTACGCAATTGGGATACGGTGACATGTGTTAACCACGTCAGCGAGCCTGACCACCCGATCCCGTTATTCGCCTCATACGACAGGCATATTCTAACCCGGATCGTCAAGGCTAATGTTATAACTAACATGAGATCTTAGTTCTCGCGAACAAGGAAAACACAACAACACCCAATAACCTTTATTTACTCTGTGGGAGCATTAGCAGTGGTACATGGCCAGTACAAATAATTAACACTTATAAACATAACGCAACCTATGGCACAGGAATATGACAAATCCATAAACACTAAAGATTTTAGATCTTAACTAAAAATGAGCATATATGAATATGATGAAGTTTGATAATTTGTCGATAACAGGTATTCTTTGTTTTTAGTTCAAAGGTTTTCCAAACTTAAAGATGATTGTCCCATCATACTATGTCAATAAAATCAGCTCGTTGATTGGAAAGCGATTTACAATAAAAACATGTAGCAGAACTGGTCACCAATAACATGACATAATACATGCTTTCCGAACATGCAATTTCGAAAAGGTCAACACGATTATTCGTAACGGGCTGGGCGACTGATTCCGTCATAATCATGGCCTATCGCTCGTTTCAGTTGGATAAACATTTGAAACGAGAGAGACTTTTTACAGCCCGTGGAATATTTCAAACCAAGTGTGAAATGGAAATCGCCAGTTGGAAACTAGTGTTATAATACCCTTTAAAGCTAATTATTGATTGGCTGACGTCGACTTCTTGTAAGCAATTTCATTGGTCTGTCAAAGAAAAAAGCTGTTCGAACGCGACATGTATTATGATATTCTTGGATTTTTGCTTATCTACAGCAAGAATTAAGATCTGATTATTAATGAGACTTGTTATCATTTGATCACAGGTCGGATCAGACGACAAATTCCAGGCAGTGATTTTGCCTTGACCTTTGATTGGGATGACCTTCTGCGACCTTTAACCGAGGCTGATTATTATCACTCCACAGATGCTGCAGGTAGGATGGTTTTATCCACGTTGAAGTTCCTTATAAAGAAACACTATGAACAGTTGTGTTTAATTGGAATTTTGGAAGTTGATTAATAATAAGAAAGGTATGATACTTTATGGGTCGCAACATCTTTATTATTACCATTTTTCCCACCCATCTACAATGAACTGATAAAAACAACAGAACAGAGCAGTCCACTCTTCATTGTGCCTGCACCCTATATGTTGTTATATGGGATTAAAGGCCACAGCTCACAGCATTTCTGGTTATAGGCTGTTTAATTAAAGTTGGCGCCTAGTGGTTAAAGCGTCCGCTCGTCACGCCTAAGACCAGGGTTCGATTCCCCACATCGGTACAATGTGTGAAGCCCATTTCTGGTGGACCCGCCGTGATATTGCTAAAAAATGGCGTTAAACCATACCACTCTCTCAATTAAACAGTGAACTGTTTTGCTAAGATCAGTGCTGATGTCAGCTGTGTACTGTTTGGTCCGTCTCGTGAACAGGCTGCTTACTCCTATTGTTGCCCCATTATTGCCAATAATAATTGTAGTTGTTAATCCCCTTGATACATATCCTCATGTTGTCTTACTTAATCCCTGTTACATGTATATGAGTCGGTTCCATGCTGCATGACTTCACTCTTGCTTTACAACGGTGTAAAAATCTATACCGAAACGTCGCATCAAAATATGAAAAAGACGTTGTCCTCCAGAAAATATAACACCTTTCTAAACCTCCTGTGAAGCTGTGTATCTTCATGTTCACGAATGTTGTCAAAGAGGTATGTATTGTATAATTTATGCATTCTGTGAGAGAGAAATACTTCATATCGTTCCACTTTCTAAGGTTCGTGGCTTTCTGTTAAATCTAATGCACAGAAAGCAACTCACGGCAGCTGAGAATTGTTTCCCGGCAACTACACTCCCTGTCACCGCTGCTGATAAACGGCCATATGGATAAGATGGGTTTGTTTTGCGATTTGCCAGTGTCCGTTCAGTATTAGTTTGAATCACTATATTGTTTCCAATACCTTTGCTTTTTGTTTAAAGTTTTATAAATTTACACCCGGACAAAGAAAGAAAATCTCCCCATGATCTGAGTGAAGCTTGTTATGTCACCGTTAATTTCACCTGTAATGCTTAAGATGATCACGACAATGGACCACTGTATGTGACATCCTTCAGTGTTATCTAGCGTCAAATGGGGCACCATAACAAAGTATTTAGTCGACTGAGTAGAAAACATTACTAATAAACGCTTGGAAGAACCTTCATATGACGCCAACTCGAACATAACGCACTTCCTTGATTAGTGTATAGACAGCCATTTGCTACGTGTCTCGTCCTGAAGCGACAATGTCTGCCCTATTGATGTCTGTGTACTAGAACCTTGAGAAAGCGTTTATACGTTCCGTTTGGTATCAATGTGGTAGGGTCTGCTTGGGAACATGGACGTAGGATCCGTTTGGGATGGTAGTAGGTTCCATTTGGCACTATGGTGGTGGGTACAGATTGGGAACATGGAAGTAGGTGCCGCTTGGATCATGTTTGTAGGTTCCGTTTTAGCTTGGTCTAATGACAAAAGACTTGTTATCTGGGAACCACCCATTGGTCGGACGACAGTACATTCCTGCTCCTTTTTAGTGACGGGTAACTGAGGGTGTGGCGGCACAGGCGTTGAGCTAATTAATCTCGGATCCAAATAATCTTATGGGGGAGGTTAGGAGAGGACATGGGGATGTATCTAACGTGACTGCTCACACGACAACCTGACAGATATTGAATACAAATGCCCTGGCTCTAGTTGTTGCATCACATTCCGACAAACGTCGGAGTCAATAGGCTGCATCTAACAGAATAGGCGTTTTATGTTATTTCAAACGTTTACATGTCAAGCTTCTTCAGGTGAAAGAGTGACAGTAGATTTGCGAATATTTAAAATGAATGCCATGTCGATTGCCAGCAGCTGATACCCGCGTTACAGTGGTAAAATATTCGTTACTGTTTGTTTCCAGGCTAATACAAACTTGCTGTTTGACATTCAAGCTTGAACTTACGTTATACTGTTTTAATGAAGCCTTTGCCCCGATGAATGCGCCTGGTGGGCGTCCAGGCCATTCCACCTCCACCAACACGTGTAGCGACATCCGGGGAGTTCCTGCGCAGTTAAGGAGCGCAAGCAACATCAGACCGAGTGGATTGTCGTATTTCTACCAGAAATATACAGAGGCGTATGGGATACCCGTATTAGGTGATCTTATCTTTGTTTGTTACTAACACCGTCATCAGCAATATTCCAGGTTTATGGCGGAAGTCGGTAAATATTGGAGTCTGGACCATACAATCCAGTGATGAACATCATGAGCATTGATCTACGCAATTGGGATACGATAACATGTGTCAACCAAGTCAGCGAGCCTGACCACCCGATCCCGTTCGTCGGCTGTTGCGACAAGCATGGGTTATTCACTTGTCCTCTCGTTTGAAGTCGGTTGTAAAATCGATACCATTCTGGAAAAAACGTTCTCAGATCAGAATTCATCAACTTGTGTCAAAACCTTCAGAGGACCCTTGCACGGCAAGGTGGCGCAACTTTGCATGTCATATCAGTGACCTTTACCTTTATATTCCTTAGGAAGCAGTGTTCGTCAGCAAGCCATACCAAACGGGATCGAGTGGTCAAGCTCGCTGACTTGTTTGATACATCGTATTGGTGCATGACATCGTTTCAGGTGCTCATGATCTCAATCACTGAATGATCTCTTCTGATTATGTACAGGATGCTGTCATATTGCTCAGTTTGGCGTTAAACGAAGTTCACAAATTAACATACCTCCGCGTTAAGCCTGGAATATTGCTTACTGACGCAACACAATAACGGCAACAACAAATGCTATGGATTTCACTCATAAAACTTAATTGAATACTTTTGAGTTCTTTGGTTGTTACAATCTACACTTCTGTCTTAAAAGATCCGATGTATATCTCATAGTTTTTCACTGTGTATTAATATAAATAGCGGCGGAGTTTGACTTTCTCTTGTGGTCTTGAGTATCTATGACTTGGAACTGGACATGAAGATTTCTGACTTGGACCTGGACGTGAAGATCTCTGACCTGGACTTGGACGTGAAGATCTCTGACCTGGACTTGGACGTGAAGATCCGGGTTACCACTAGTCTTCAGCATCCCCACAGTGTTTTAAGGGGCGACTAGGGGGAATGGATGAATATGCTCGATGACTTGGTTGACGCATGGCTTGGTATCCCAACGGTGGAACGATGCCAATAATGTGAATCTCGGGCTTATTTATCCAGACCCGATTATATACTTCTCATAGAGCTGAAATATTGCTCAATGCGATCCAGTGCAAAAAAAGAAAGAAAACAAAACAACAAGGAATATTACAAGGAAATTCTTTGCCTTTGCTTTATACTTCTGGCTGGTTTCTTTAATACTTGATTTGGCGAATGAAATTTTTAAAAATTTGGTCAAGATTGAAACCATCAGACAAATTTGTTTTCCTTCTGGAGAAAAAACCCATTTCAGTGATAAATAAGATCAACAGATGGTGGTACGTGGGACGTCATGCGAATGACAAATCTTTTATATATATATTTCTTATAGTTCTTTTAAGCATGCTTATTGTAATTTTGTATACTATTTATTTTTCAATCCTTGTATACCCGTATGCACCGCAGGTTCCGTTAACGTCCCCGACGACGCTCTTCGCCGCGCCTGTTACATTCTTCGCTTCCTCCTCGCCGACCACAGCGGTGTCCGGCAGTCCTACTACCGACTGTCGGGGAGGGTGGCAGTGATCGGAGCTCGGGAAGGGACGGTGTCCATTCCGGAACATGCTTGGCTTGGCCCCGCCTGGAACGCCCGAGCACGTGGACTTGGGGCGACGGAACACGCCCCCGTGTCAACAGGAGGCGAGGAAAACATCCTTTGTTACAATATAGACAGGTAAAATGACAATGATTTCTACCCGACGAAACTGTTGAAAACCTTTCTCAATTAAACAAAACCCGAGAAGATCCACAAAAGAAGGGACGTAACTCTTCATGTGCTACCCTCGGCTATTCTAAGGGGATGCTTCTACCGTGCGATCACACGGTTATGGTATCCTGTCTAAAATTACTATTTTGAAAGAAGTTAAAAAGAGACAGCAAAGTATTTGAAAATGCTTCTTGAACTTTATGAGAATGTGAACGATTCAAGTATTGTCCATAATATGGCATCAGGTATCGGTTCGAGGACATCTTCCTGCACGAGTTCGCCCATGGCATCCATCTACTCGGTGCCAAGTATGCCATCCCAGGTTGGCAGAGTCGTCTACAGTCGCTCTTCTACCAGGCCAGGTCTGCCGGTAGGTGGCGCAGGACGTACGCCATGACCACATTGAAGAATACTTTGTAAGTACAAACATATCGAGTATGAATGAATGTGTGTGAGTATGACTGTACGTGGCGCGCGTGTTTGTATGCGTGTGCTTGAGAATGCGTTCTATGCAGTTTTCTGGCTACATGATAACAGCTTCATGATGATAACAGCCAATAACAATAACAATGTCGCCTATCCAATCCTCATTTCAGCCAGATCTTATCAGCCAGAACTATGGTGGCTGTTGACTCAGATTACGCAGGTTGTCTAAACACATGGTACAAAACGTTTCTGTTCATTCAGAGAAGTTGTGGAACTCGAATCATCATTATAGCATCTGTCAAAGTGAATGCCTGCACTCTTTGTAACCACTTCAGGCTCCCGATCCACAACGCCTTCGTAACGATGAGACCTATTCGTAAGTCAGTGCTACATCATTGGCTTACGAAAGGCGTGATCTAACTGTGACTGTGAGTCGAGGAGCAGACACCATTTTGTTTACATGTCATAAGGTCGGTAGCGAGCTTATCAGCTTATTAATTTTAAACCCCTTTAACATGGCGGTAAATATGCTGTATGCTTCGCTCGAGGATAATATGGTCTGATGTACCCGTGCCACCCGAGCCAGTAGGCGATCACTTATATTATCTTACCTTCATGTGAAATGCTTTAATTTCAGTGGTCAATGACTCTTTAACAAGTTTCCGTGTCACAACGAGGGTGACAACTGGAAAAAATGTTACCCGTGGACACAGTAACCGCCAAAATCTCCGCCGAGAAGCTGTATTGCTTACAATCGTATGACGTCATAATATGACGCATGCAGTGTCCGGAGTTCGAAAACCGTTCGATTAGCTGTTTTTGAGTTCACTATGTACACATTTATTTTGTCGACTTTCACGACTAAACTATTGAATACATTGCATCTTTGACACACTCAAGACAAACACAATTAGCCATTTTTATAGCAGTTTTACGCTTGTCAGAATATGTTTCACTGATTTTAAAAATCCAGTCGAGAGGCAAACGCCATTTTGTTTACATGTCATGTAGTCGGTAGCGAGCTTATCGTGTTGAACATTCAACATGGCAGTAAGATAAATACGTTGAAGCATGCAACTTATATTATAAAACAAGAAACATCGGATCAAAGGAAGAATGTCAGTGTATGTGTATACTTTATGTTTGTGTTCATCTGATAGTCGGTCATCTTTCAGTTATTCATTTACGTAAATTTTCACCACATTTCCGCTTGGGGTGCCCAATGAAGTCGGCTTCAGTTAATTACCGAAACTGGTTATTTTCTTGAATTGTCGTATTCTATTGACATGTGAGTACAGAGATTGTCACCATTTCTCTTCAGGCGGAAGGGACACAAAGCTACTTCAACGTCAACGCTTACTCCACCGTCCCCAACGGCATCCACAACCGCGTCAACACCCGCGAGAAACTACGGCAATACGACCCCCAGCTGTTCTCTCTGATACAGGAGGTATTTCCCTGCGGGAACACGTACCTTAGAAGATGTATGGCAACCCGAAGTAAGCAAAATGTCATATCCATTGTTATTGTGCTTCACGTGGACGCGACTGGTCCAGATTATCATGTTTCAATCAAGACTTAAATATGTTTTTCCCCACATCCAAAATTAAAATCACGAGTAACGATCCCAAGCATTCAGCTGTTACAGTAACTGGCTACCAGATTCCTGTATTCTGATAGTATAATTCGAATAAGGGTAGTTTTATGTGATGTGTTTCCTGCTAATGTTGCAGATGCTGAGAGAAGCCAGCGTCTGATGATGGACTGCAACACTGGGGGCGGCGGCACTGGAAACGAAACCGAAATCGGAACCGGAACTGGAACTGGCACTGGAACCGAAACCGAAATCGGAACCGGAACCGGCACTGGAACTGGAACCGGAACCGGAACCGGAACTGAAACTGAAACTGAAACTGGAACTGGAACTGGAACTGGAACTGAAACTGAAACTGAAACTGGAACTGGAACTGGAACTGAAACTGAAACTGAAACTGAAACTGAAACTGGAACTGGAACTGAAACTGAAACTGAAACTGAAACAGGAACTGGAACTGAAACTGAAACTGGAACTGGAACTGGAACTGGAACTGGAACTGGAACTGGAACCGGAACTGGAACTGGAACTGGAACCGGAACCGGAACTGGTTCAGGTATGAAAGTCTATAATGGGATGCTTCTGTAATACACGGCCAAACTGGAAGCCTCAAGAATTTAACAAAAAATATTTGAATAACACTTATGGCTGTTTTAGGCAACTGTCTGGACAGGAACCGCAACTGCAGGTCATGGGCTTCTCTAGGAGAGTGTGGCTCCAATCCTCGCTACATGAACGTGTACTGTAGACAAAGTTGCAACAGATGCTCAGGAGGCGGAGGAGCAGGTTCGACATGGAATTTTACCCATGATCTTTCACTTTGTAGTGTATGTCTAGTGTGACATCAGTAGATAGAGTTGCGTCCGTTTGGCGTACCGGTATCCTATGATCATTGGTACAAAATCAGCATTCATTATTAATAAGAACCTTCTTTTGTCAGCACTATACCTGTCCTTTGAACTCGTGAAGATCCGGGTTAGAATTGATCTTCAGTAACCCATGCTCGTTGTAAGAGGCAACTAACGGATCGGGTGGTCAGGTGACTTGGTTGATACATGTCGTCGTATCTCAATCGCATAGATCGATGCTCATGCAGTTGATCACTGGATGGCCTAGTCCTGACTCGATTATTTACATATAGCCATTTATCTTGCCTCACACATTGGCTGAGCGCTCTAATATTATTTTCAATGTACCCCGCTTACAAGCGAGTAACCTTTTCTATGTACCCCGCTGGGAATGCCAAACTCATTTGGTACTTGGTAGTAGTATCTTTTTATCTCGAATAACATTGAATCATCTATGATGTACGTAAATTACCGATGTTTTGCGAATACAAATCGATGGAAGGGAGATAACTCTAAATTTGTTTTTCTTGTCGTCTGGTACTCCATACTATGATTCCATACCCGTGCTTCAAACAGTTCAAAATTACCTTTGAGGTGTTCGGTAAGATAAATTCGTTGTTCACTGGAATCGAGGGGGCCATGGGCTGACGTACCCTCGATGTTTGTTTATATTCCCCTGAGCCCGAATGACTACTGCTGAGTGTGGCGTTAAACCACAGACCACAGGGCTAAAATCTGCCATCAATGTATATACTGTCACTGACGGGTCTTTGTACTATTTATAGCTAAAACACATGGAATTATCATGAAACGGCCGTCCTATTATCAGAAATTTGCGGGCTGCTGCAAATGATATTGGACCGCTCAACCTTAACGACGGGCCACTATCAGTTCTGTTGTCAAGTGACGTCATAGTGGGTGCGTCGGTTCATTCGACTTTGGCTTTGGACTGGCAGATATTCTGGGGCAAACAAGTCAACGCAACCCGAATTCCCGCTTTAAATAGCGGTAATATTGGCTTTCTTGCTGGTGCTAACCTTAACAATTGCACTATTAACTATTACATGGAAGTTGGTTTTGAGTCAAATTCCTTCATTGTTTCCTTTTTTCTTTTCAACACAAATTCCATGTATTTTAGCAATAATAACGATAATGCTATTTTTGAGGGCATTATGATCTGCAGAAGCCCTCGTTTTTTTCATTAATTAATGGAAGACCTCGGACTTCTGAAAATGATAATGCCCTCAAAAATAGCATTACCCTTAATAAAAGGAAAGGGATTAACGAGGTCAAACACACCAGGTTCGTTTCAGCGCGAATTCAACAATACTCACTGTATTTGTCCCATTTAAAGTATGCACACATTTCAAGCCAATAGATTTACCAACAAAATGAGACATACAGCACAATAATCGAAGAAGTACTTTGGGAGCTAGAATCTTCTGAAGCTCGAAAAATCGTGATTTCTCGATTCCGAGCCAAAATCCCTGCTCAGAATTTGTAGCGGTAACTCACCCATTTTCTTCTTTATTTCACTGTATGCACAAACGACATGCACCAAAACATGTTGAACCGAGGGCGCCTGTCAGCGCGCTAGTCGCCATTCTTTTGGAGACACTTACATCTCACTGTCATAATGAGTTTACGTACATTTAGTCATCGCAAACAGAATTGTGTCGTGCCGTTCGCCATTGACGAACTTGGTCTTAATCTGCCCCGCACTGAAAAGAGCAAGGTTGGCTAAAAAATAAAATATGTCCCATCAAATCGCTGACTCATTGACTGACTTACCTTTAAAATATAGGGCACTATTTCATGCCGAAGAATATCGATCGTTACCGAAAATTGTCGATTTTTCAAATTCCATGTGTCATTTATGCTGCCTTTATTGGCATTGTAGGTGTGAAAAACGTGTTTGTAATTGTGGACAAATTGCATAAACGAGAATACATTTTCATTCTTGTATTTCTAGGTGGATCCTGTGTGGATGCAAACACCGACTGCAGGAGCTGGTCGATGATGGGGGGAGTGGGGACGGAACCCCGGCTACATGTTGTCTTCGTGTAGACTCAGCTGCGGTCAGTGCTGACCATGTCCGTGCAATAAACCAAACAACATGCACTTGACTTGTCATTTAGGAAGTTATCAACCCTTACAAGTAGAGGTTTGTGTGATCACTATCGTTAGTAGTGAGTGAGTGAGTGAGCTTTTTTCAATAATCTAGGATTATCATGGCGGGAGATACACGAAATCCATGTATCCATGTTTAGAATCGAAGCTTGGTCTGCGGCTCGGTGAGTGAACAATTTAACCACTGGGCTTCCCCACCGCCTCTGTCGTTAAATAGAGATGTGAGGACTTAAATTTGAGGGTCACGTCACAACGAACTTTCCATAAAACCATGCCAACAATATATGGAAAGTGAAGGTCGGAATACGTATTTCAATCACGAAACCTCGAAAAATTTAACACGGGGTATTCCGAACGACAGTTACGTCACAACGCCTTATTCCACGGAAATAATGATGTCTGTTTCTGGCTTCAGTTAGATAAGCGTATTGAAAGGGAAACAACTTTAATGTCATAGAGTTTGGGCCATCCAATTGAATTTGAATCGATATTTAACAGTAAGCTGCTTTCTGAATGGCCGATGTCGACTTCTTGTCATATTGGTCGTTTTGTAATGGGATGCCCTTGTTATGAAACCCATGCAGGCGATACTGAAATAGCGATGCCAAAAGCTATGGAACAATGAGGATTGGCATGACATTCATATATCCGATCTGCAAAGAAACTGTTTGTAAAGGTTTGAAGCTTAAGAAAGTACAGGAGCTCCCGAACCAAGTACACCGAACCAGGTTAGTCCACATCGCCAATCCAAGTACATCCTTATTCGATCCCCCACATGAGTACAATGTGTGAAGCCCATTCCTGGTGTCCAATGCCGTGATTTTGTTGGAATATTGCTAAAAGTGGCTTTGAAGCGACATACTATACTACATTCATTATTCAAATAAACCGATCCCCTGGTGTGAATGTGGACCGACAGTCATGACTACTGAACGTTTGCAACTCAACAGTGAGTGAATGGGATTTTACGCCGTTTTATGCAATGTTCCTGCAATATCACGGCGGGGGATACCAGAAATGGGCTTCACTCATAGTACCCCTGTGGGGAATCGAGATCTTGTATTCGGGATGACGAGGGAACGCTTTAACCACCGTCCCTGTGAAACAACGATACATGCAAACCCCTCTTTGACAGGAGCATTAACATGTATGAACAATAATACAGTGAAACACGATTATTACGAAACATCGGACATCCGGGACATTACAACTAGGATCATCTCCACACATGTCCACTGGTGACGCGTGCCTGCATGAGTGAGTGAGTTAGTGACTGAATGAGTTTAGTTTTAGGCCGCTTTAAACAATATTCCAGCAATATCACCAGAAATGGGCTTCAAATCGAACCCGATGCTTCGGCGTGACAAGCGAACGCTTTAACCACTAGGCTACCCCACCGCCCCGTGCCTGCTAGAGGACTCTTCTTCCATCGATGAACGTAATGTGCGAAAATACAAGCCAACCAACCTGCTCGTAACGATTGAAGTGCTTTGATAGGAGAAATCACGAGTGTATGGTATGCGATTCAAAACCAAACAGATTGGTTTGCTTACATACAGGCTCCCTGGTTTTCCCATTGTTATTTTCTCTGTGTATCAGTTTGTCTATATCCATATATATTTCTGTTTTCTATATCCATATATATTTCTGTTTTATATCCGTTTTGGTATGAAATCATACCTATAAGAGCAGATAAATATTTTCACGAGTTTCAAAACAATACATTTCATATAGCTACTTATCAACATTCACCATAGATATTGGGCTTACATTTCACTTCATTGGGGATATTGGATCCGTAATATGCTAATCTTGTTTATAAATTATTATACATCAAAGGTACATATCTCAACGTGTGTGGGTGTTTTTCTGATCGCTGTTCGATACAGCCGTTATATTAATGATAGATTGCCGATAAGGCATGCATTTTATTGGATTTGCAGTGTTCCGTCACTAAACCTTCAAACTTAACGAAATGTTATTAATCAAAATAATTTTTATATATATTATGCAGGAGCGGATACAGCTTTTGAGAAAGGGGGTGCACACTATTGAGAAAAAGGAGGGTGCACACTTCATTTTCACCAGAGTTTCAATGGTCATTTAATAAACTTTCAGACAAAGGGGGTGCGCATCCCTGCACCCCCCCCCTGGATCCGCCTATGTTATGAAACAAATCTTCAGAGTTCGGAATAATGAGATTTCTATCTTGTTACACATACACGCCTTGTGATATGAAACATTCCCATTACACCGAACCCACAAAATTCTAATTGTAAAATTTATACAAATAAATGTAGCTCTTTTTTAAGATAAGTTATATATGATGACAGAATTGGTTTCAGTATATGCTTGACAACGGTACAAGAATCTGTATCGAAACGTCGCACTCACCAATAAAAAGAAGTTGTTATCCATAAAGTTTGTCCTATAATGGTCAATATTATCAAATGAAAACAACGGCAACAAGATCAATATTGTACATAACAAATATGACTATGTTTTTAAGCTCACCACCTGTCAGATGAGTTGTGGGTATATCAGAGCTCCAAACGTACTGACAGATACCAGTCACCATGGATCTGCACATAGGCGTGTTGGTGATTCTTCTCGTCGGACTTGGGCTCGCAAATGCTGGTAGGTTGCTGACTCGTTGAATATTGTTTTAGACGTGTTATTTATCCAGAACTTGGCCTCGATGTTTGCGCCAAACTGTGATACCTGAATGATAATACATTCTGCCATGCAGCAAGAGTCATTCCTCCTTGATCTCTCTGTGAAACACTGTGGTTAAATACATACCAAAATATTATACAATAATACTAAGTAGAACATCGTTGTTGTTTTGGTTGATTTGTCGTTTAACCCCGCACTCAGCAATATTCTAGCTATCTGGCAGTGGTATGTAAATAATCGAGTCTGGACCAGACACTCCAGTGAACAGCAGCACGACCATCTGTCTACGCAATTGAGATACGATGACGAGTGTCAGCCAAGTCAGCGAGCCTGACAATTCGATCCCGTTAGGCGCCTCTTTCGACAAGCAGGGGTTACTGAACACCAATTCGAACCCGGATCTTCACGGGTGTCAGTGGAGAAAGGGAGTCTGGTGGTTAAGGCCAAAGGTGTTCCTATTGTCCAAAATACAACTTCGACCCTGACTTCACCTGGACGGGTGGTAGAATGGGACCGACTCGGCTGATCACGCCAAGCCCTGTGGCGAGTGGACCAGACAAACCAGTGATCAGCAGCATGAGTATCGATTTACGCAAATGGTATGCAATGACATATGTCAACAAAGTTTGGCGAGCCTGACAACCCGATCCTGTTAGTTGCCTACTGAAGATCAATTATAACCTGGATCTTCACAGGTCAGTGTACAAAATAGTTTCCAAATTTTGCTAGCAGCTCGAGCTAGCTATGCCTGAAAGTTACTAGCCCAAAAATAAGTCCGAAATTTGAATGTAGACGCAGGTTTCATCTTTAAGCTGCTAATATTATATACATTTTTATCAGGCCATAATCTTGCATGAATTAAAAGTGTGTTATAACTTATTAAGTCGGAGACAGTGATGTATTTTTTATTTTTTTTATATTTGCACATTTTTTTCAAAGTACAGGTCTCATGTCGCATATAATCAACAAATAGACAATTGCATGCTTTGAACACCTTCAAGAGAATATGTATTATATAAAGATGCTAATATCAGAGTCTATACAGCTATGAACATACATGTACATTGTTCTACAGTCTTTGCTTATATTCAATGTTAAATTTGGATCCAAAGAAAGTAATATATACTGAGTCAAAAAAGAAACTTCACATTCTTTCTTCAGGGCACTATAAAAGAACAAGAGATGGTAAGATGGTTAAATTGTTATTATTTCATTGCTGAGATCTGTGTGATGTACTCGATACACTGACAGTGCCATAATCAGTTCCATTAGGCTACACCGCCGTTCCAAAACATGGGTATACAGAATGTCCAGTCTCAAGAATAAAAATGCGAAATTTCTCAGTGCAATATCGTGTTTGGCCGCCCCACGCATTCACCCGTGCCAAACACCGTCTCCTCATCGACTCCCTGATGCTTGTGAACACGTGGTTGGGGATTCTGCGCCATTGCTCTTGCAAGGCAGCGCCAAGTTCCTGCAAATTCTGAGGTTGGTTCCTAAGACCACGAAGCCTTCTCCCAAGTGCATCCCAAACGTGCTCTATTGGATTAAGGTCAGGGGACCTCGATGGCCAGTCCATGACGTTGATTCCAGCGTTTTGAAGGAAATTTCGTGTCAACATCGCGGTATGCGGCCGAGCATTATCATGTTGCAACTGCAGACCTGGGCCATGAGCCGCCGTGAAAGGAACGAGTTCAGGGGTGAGCACCTGGTCGCGATAAGCAGCAGCTGTGAGGTTTGCACGGATGACCAGAAGTCGGGAATGGTTGTTCCCACAGAAAGCACCCCACACCATGCAACTTCCACCCCCGAATCTTCCTGTACACAACATTGGGCATACCGTTCACGACGCCGTCTCCAGGCTCTGTGCCTGCCATCCGCCAATCTGAGGGTAAACCTGGATTCATCGCTAAAGACGACTCGATTCCAGTCTCTCTGGGTCCATCGGAGGTGACGTTGGGCCCACAGCAGACATTGACGTTGATGAAACGGCGTCAATATTGGCCCACGATATGGACGTCGAGAATGGAGATTGGCAGCCCGCAACCGATTTCGAATGGTCTGTGAGGACATGCCAACGGCACGTTCACGTTGCACATTTGACAATCGTGGCATTTCAAGTACCGTTAGAACTGTGGTTTAAAAGTGTTGTTTTCAATTCCTGAGGCCAATGCAAACACGTGCATATGAAGAAAACTTCGATGCGAAGATCACGTGATCGACTGCACGTGCAAAACCTTATTTGGCACTAACGTCATTTGCACGACGAATGGATGGGTTTGAGTGGGTTTTGCTAACGTTTTTCTAGAGTCGAC